AATTTAACTCTAATTTAATTGAGATTTAATTTTGTAACTACAAATTTAGTTATGTAACCGCCGGTATTAATTTCACCTAAATGTGAAGGTTATAAAATTAAGTGCTATGAATGCTATTAATTTCACATATCCTATGTATACATAGAGGTGTTGAGTATTAAGTTTTTTTTTTTTTTTTTTTTTTTTTTTTTTTTTTTTTTTTTTTAAGAGTTAGTGTCATATGGGTCCTCCAAGTATAATGGTTTTGCCACGTTTAGTCCTAAACTTTCAAATTGATCACTCTTAGTTTTTCGACTTTCAAATTTTTACCATTCGCGGTCCAAGTTAACCACTCATGGTCCTTCAATTATCAAATTTTAACCAGCCATGGTCAATTTAGGAGGATCTTGGCTTGTTAAATTTCGAAAGTTGAAAGACCATGGGTGGTAAACTTAGACCACAAATGGTAACAATTTGAAAATTGAAGGACCACAAATAGTCAATTTGAAAGTTTAAGATTAAATGTGGCAAAATTATTACACTCAAAAGATTGCATATGTTATTAATTCTTTTTTTTTTTTAATGATATACCTTAAAAATTCTCTTTCTCTCTCTCTATTTGAGGAGTTCTTCCTTTCAAAAGTTTAAAAAAAAAAAAAAAAAAAAATTAACAAGTCAGCCTACAAGACTTGTCAACCTACATGTAGTTGCTTAGGGCTTGAAGATACCAACTTGTGAGCTTTGTGGGTTAGTCCAGCCAGCTTGAATGGACAGTCCTAGTTAGATTAATTATTCAAAAACCCGCTAATCACCTTGTAATCAAGTGACATGGAATGACTCTTTCAAATGAGAGATCATGAGTTCAAGTCTCAGTAGGAGCGGTATTGACTCTTTAGGCTTCAATAAGTTGAGAAAGTATATACGAACAAATACTATATTCTACCAGAGTTAGTAGCTAGTATTCCAAAAAATAAAATATTCAAAAACCCTAAAGATAGAATCACATGGAAAACAAAATTAAATAAATAAATCTAGCATTGCTCCTTAACTCCCTTTCCTAATCTCTTCAACTTTATCATTTGGCTCTTGCATTCGCTCCATTAGATCAAGCTCCTCATAAGTAGTTAGTTGTGTAAATTGCTATGGAGATCAATTAGCATAATCGATCTAAACTTAATTAAGTTGTTAAAATTTCTCGTATTCACTTTTTGTTTCTGATGTGTTAAGCTTTTCGAATTTATATTATCCAGATCTCGCAAGCACATTCATTTTTTAAAAAGTTATTTGTACTTTTTATTTATACTATGAAAAGTGAGTAATGGTTCAGAAAGAGAAACAAATAATGGACTTGCTCCAAACCTAGTATTCACATGTAATAATTTGGAAATGAAAACTAATAGTGGGCTATCATATTTATTTTATATGTTTGAATCTTGTATTTGTACCTGTAATATCTTCTAGAACTGGTATATTTATATAATTTTGCTTATTTTTTAAGTTTAAAATAACTTATAAGGTTGATGAAAATTAAATTCGTGGTTAGTATGGTCCATTGCCATCGTGTGTGTTTTTCAGGGTGGGGGTTGCCAATTTGACAAAGAGAAAGATAGGACTCATTTTATTAAACACATACATAAGAAAATGGGAAGAGATGAGGGGTAACAACATTACCTTAAAAATGAGGCATAGACGAATATAGATTCACAAGGAAATTTGCATTTTTACTACGGAGAATATTTAGTATTGAAATTTTTTTTGTTAATTTTTTTTTTTATGAACGTATTTAATAGATCAACTCATCATATCCTTTACTTTGTCAAATTGATAATGACAATTGTCTGATAACTAAATGCATTTTGATTTATTATTTTGTAACTGAAACGATGTGTCATGTATGATTTCATTATGAAGGGATGATGTGAATGATTTTGTAACACACGTTGTCTTCTTTTATTTAGGAGAGTGGGGGTTGGGGGTTGGGGGTTGGGTGGGGGGGGGGTGGTGGTTAATGGTTATGTCCTTATCTTTGAACTTTTTATTTGTGTATTATGAATAAAATTATTTGATCTAGTGGAAGTGTTATATCTCCTTTTTTTTTTTTTTTTGTTTTTTTTTTTGTTTTTTTGTTACACTATTTTACTAAACAGGTCGTGTACTCTGCAAGCAATAGTGTTTTAAATAGGTTTGGAACAAATATGGGTAAAGTTTCACTTTTGTCTCACAATTATTAGTTCATTTGATATTTGTATTTCAAAATTTGTTTGGAAGAAATTACTTTTTCTCGATTAAAAAGAATTGAAATATGTCACAATAATATTCTAGATCATTAATTAAAAATGGAACGAGAATTATGTAAATTGGAAAATAAAATGTTAATAATTGACTGGAAATTAAAAATGAAAAAATGAATGGAAATTAGGTTAATTGGAAAAGTAAATGAATATTAATAATTGCTTGAAAATTAAAAAAAAAAAATTATAATTGACTAAAATGGAAAAGGAAATGGTCAAATTATTATATTTTAAATTTTCACAATAATATTACACAGTAGACTAAATCAAATCACAATTATATCATAAATCATTCACAATTTCAGACAATGGAACGAAAATATTTCAATAATAATACTCTACATCATCAAGTAATGAAAAATTAAAAATGAAAATGAACTATTTCAATAATAATATTCTACATTATCAATAGTAAATGTATATTTTAAAAAATAGTAAAGGTAAATTAAAAATGGAACGAAAATTAAAAATAAAACGGAAATATTTCAATAATAATATTTTATATCATCAAATAAAAATGGAACGGAAATTAGGTAAAAATATCACTGCATCTATATTCTAATTGACTAATTGTCTGAAAATAAAAAAATAATAATTGATTGAAAGTGAATCTAATATTACTAATTGACTAAAAATATAAAAGAAAACGAATATTAATAATTGACTGCAAATAAAGAATGATCCATAATTGATTAAAATAAACAAAGAAATGATCAGATCATTGCATTTTAATTATAAATGGAACGAAAATTAAAAATTTGTCAAAATATTTCAATAATAATATTCTACATCATCAATAGTAAATGCATATTTTAAACAATAGTAAAGATAAATTAAAAAATAGAACGGAAATATTTCAATAATAATATCTACATCATCAATTAAAAATGGAATGAAAATTAGGCAAAAATATTACTGCATATGATATTCTAATTGACTGAAAAAAAAAAGAATAATTGGCTGAAAATGAATATGATATTACTAATTGACTGAAAATATAAAAGGATCATTAATTGAATGATATTCTACCGTTATATATTTTCACCCGAGTAACTTGTCTTGATGAACTGAAGGTGTTAGCTCTAGACGATGATAGACAAGATTGTGTTGCCACTACCAATGTGGTCCACAAAGAGATTTCAGTAATGTGTAAATATAATCGGTGATATTATGTTTTTTTAGAAAAAGGAAAAATTGATATATATATATATATATATATATATATATATATATATATATATATATATATATATATATATATATATATAGACAAAAAATATATGTTCCCTACAAATGAATTAGGATAGCAATTCATTCATAGTTGTTAGAGAACGAGCACATTTGTCTAATTTATGAAAATACTAAACAATGATAAATAAAATCTTCAAAATATAGCATTGTATGCGTACATCTAGACATTAGCTATTAATTTGAGCAATTATTTACATAAATTTAAGCAATGATAACATCAAAATATATAAACGATCCAAACCATATCTTTAATTACACTATATAATATTTGATGTTCTAATTTAAATAATTACAACAAATTTATTCCGTACATCGCACGGGTAAAAATACTTGCTAGTTCTTGTAATGCATGAATTAATTATGAAATATATATTAAATTAATTCATTAATTTTGTAATTAGAAACATAGAAACATTCTATACAATTATATATATTTACCATAACAATTACATACATAACAACATATCATATCATATATACGGGTGCATAATAATGAAAGGGTATACTAATATATATGAATTTAATTCTTTAATTCGTAATTAGAAACATAGAAACATAATATGCAATTATGTTTAGCTTAATAATTACATGCATACATCATATCATATATACGGGTTGGACTTTCAAAAGGAAATTTGAAATGAGTTTCTAAAGTATACGGGTTGTGCATTGATCATTACATACATACATAGAAACATAGATAATTGAAAAACGTCAATATGCAATTTGTTTCTTGCCTATTACGGTGTACGTAGTCTTTGTTTTTTATGCTTTGGGATTTTGAAAGTTTGTCGTTGGGCTTTCACGTAATGTTTTACTGAATTACACGAGTATCCGTAGGTGTGGAAGATCAAGATTGTAGACTCTGCAATCTGTAGATGGAGAAGATCAAGATTGCAATATACAATTTGTTTCCATTGTATTTATAAGTGTAAAATGTGATAAACATAATTCGGAAGATTTTTCAAAAAGAAAGTGTAATTAATTATTTAAAGTTTTTAAATACTAATTCTAAATAACATTTTTGTCCAAATGTTTAATATTACTAAAATAATCTTAAGTTTTGGTGGAAAAATTTGTCCAGACACTTCTGTTATTATATAGATAGATAGATAGATATAGATTCATAAGAATATGGGAAGAGATTTTTGGTGTAACCCAAGGTTAAATAAGATGCGAAGAGATGAGGAGGTTTTAACATGACCAAATGTGAAGATAGCAGAATAGTCATAGAATCAAAATGAAAATAATTTAATAAAATTTATGTGACGTTTGATTGGAGACATTTATACCTATTATCAGATTTGATATTCATTATCATATCTATTTGTTGAGTATATTGTAGTATAGGACTGAAGAATTAAACATCTAGCAATCAAAACCAAACTGATCGAAACTCGAATTGTCCACCTCTTCTACCTAAAACATATTACCCATTTCATTCCATTCCTTATATAAAAGGAGATTCAAGATTTTTGGGCGGGTACCCGGGCAATTACTCCCCTCCCGGGTTATTGTACCAAAAAGAGGTGTCTAACTGGCTAATGGCTATGCAATGGGAAATGGGAATGGCGTAGACTGGCTGGCTCCGGGTAAACCGATCTCACCGCGATTCTACAGTTCATTCAAAAAGGGAAAAAGCTTCAAATGTTCTTAAACCTTTGCTTTTCCAGCGGACTTCTCCTACATTTTACTGCGAAGAAGAAACAAAAACCTCTGGTGCGTGCTAACAAGGGCTAGAAAAAGGGGCAAGTGAATGGCGGGAAAGCCGGCTGTCTTGGCCGGTTACGGCGGCGGGAGCCGACGCCAAGACGGTGCCGCGGACTGCTCCCGCATCGTCACTGTCGCTCATCGATTAGCTACCTATGTGTGCGCTCAGCCCAGAATCAACGCCCAAGAGTTCTGCCAGTTATCCTTCCTCCTTGCCAGGTACTTTTGTGTTTTTTCTCGCATCTTATTTTCGCCAAACGCATTTGCATGTACTCGTTTTTTATTATTTATATTGTTTTTGTTAAAGAAATCGGCATTTCTGTTTGTGAATTATTTATATTGTTGAACGTGTGCTTATTTTGGTACCCACTTTTGTGATTTTAACTCCGTAGTTTTCAGCTCCTCAGTAATACACTGTTCAAACGTTTGCTTCTTCTTTCTTATTTTGTTTGTTTGTTCATTTATTGTATGCAAAGGATTATTAGTGGTGATTGGTGAAGTGAAAGATTCTCCTCTATTTTTTTAATCCCACTTTTCACTTAATAAAATATAAATTCGGACTTGTAGTTCAGAGGCCACCTTGTTGCCTTTGTCATCATCCTTGTAAATCATACAAGGAGTATGTGTTTTATTCCCTGATGGTTTCTTTGGCACACTTGTAGAGTAACAAGAGCAGACCAGTTTTAAGTTGTCCGTGCTGTTTGGTGAGACATGAACTGATAAGTGTGGATTTTATCTACTTTTTGTTCTTGAATATCTGTTCAAACTGAGCTTACCACAGCATCATGATTTTTTAAAAAGAATTGGTGCAATTTCATCTTCTATTTGATTGTCGAAGTAACAAAGTCAAGGGCTAAGTTTGGAGTTGTTCGATTTTATGTTTTTTTTTTTTTTTTTTTTACTATGGTTCATAGAGTCTGATCTCAGGTAGTCACACTCTCCATCTTATCTTGTCACACCCCTTAGTAGTTAGTAGACACCCTGGCAGTTCATTTTATTCTTATCCTCCCTCAGACATGCATAAAAAACTTGCTAAAATTATATGCATCCATTTGAAATGCAGTCTATCTATGACCTAGACTGGGTAGTGAATGCTTTGATGAAATAATGCTTACATGGATATGTACATAGCCAGAGTCCAGAGACTTTAATTTGATTAGGGTACTCTTTAACTTACAGTATAAGGCTCAATTCTTAAGTTGACAGATTGAACATGTTTTTATTTATTTATTTATTTATTTTTATTTATTTTTTTTATAAATTTACTTCCTCTATCCCATTTAATTTGTCCAATACTCCAATTTACTATTCATTGGCCAATTCATTTTTTTTTTCTTTAACAAGTTCTTATAATTTTCAAATTTGACCTTTTGTGTTCAATAGAACTATAAATGTAGTTTTTAAACATACATACATACATATACAAGGATGGAAGGAGTATTACTGTATTAAAAAGTAAAAACAAAGGAATGGATTTTTGCGTTTAATTCCCTGAAACAAGATTATTCCATTTCAAAGCCACTATATCTTTAAAATTCCAATCCACTTTGCATCTCTTTTGGAGTTTTAGTTTGTCTCTGTGCGAAATCTGTTGTTACATAGGTTCTTCTGTTAAGATACGTCTTTGAACCAGCATGCATACCAGAAATATAACTGCATGTGTTCAAACTAACACTATGTTTGATCTGCATAAAACTCCCGAAAACAAGTCATATGGCCTCCAAATCTTCCAATACATTTTCGTTTAGCTTTGTTAATATTTTATATTTAAAGTGATTATGTTTAGGATAATGTGTTTAGACTTTATTACTCTCTTATCTAGTAAGACTATCATTGGAGTGAGTTTAAGGCTATGATTATGCACAAGGTTGTCCAATGTTCCAAGTATGTTCTTGTCTGCATGGGCTCTTCTAATTGCTACTTATTGGCTATTCATTCACAATTTAGTTTATTTGCCTTCTTGGGCATGCTAGAGTAGTTTCTTCATTTGTCTCCATCATCATATTAAATATTACTGACTAAATCGGATGGTCTGCTAATTGCAGTGACATTGATTTTGCCATTGCTAATCGGGATGTACCAACTAAAGCTTCAGAGTTGCCTTCACTTGTCAAACAGGTGCATTTGTAACACGCAATGAAAATCAAAGTTGTCTTTGTTTTACATTTCTGCATACTTGCATCATACTGCGAAAAAGAAGAAGATCTAACCTAGTGAGCAGTGGTCCTGCATCATCCACTGTTAGAGGAAGGAAAATCTACAGAATGTTACATCTGTTTTTATATAGATTTTTTCAAGGGCTTGAACCCAGGATGACCTAATGGTCAACAGGGAGCTATTGGCTTGGCCACTGTCATGCCTTGCCTACTTTTATCATCTTGCAATAACTTTTATTCTTGTCTGGAATTTGCCATTTTAAGTTATCAAGGTGAAAAAGGAGAGAGAGGAAAGAATCTTAGAATCTTCTCTCTCTCTCTCTCTCTCTCTCTCTCTCTATATATATATATATATATATATATATATATATATATATATATATATATATATATATATATATATATATATATATATTTGTGAAATCTCTTTCCATTTGGAAGATTTTCCACATTTAATTTAATTAGTTTAGTTAGGTTCAATGAAAATACATTTGATTTAGCTAATTAGCTTAAGTTCAAAACATCAAAGTATAATAAAATGTTTTTATTACAATAAGACAACTTCTTTGTTAATACAAGAAAATATAATAATATAATAATATAATTAAAACCAAAGTTTCATTGTTAAATGCCTTGTTATACATAAGGGCAAATTAGGAAATTAATGGAGTGATAGATTCTCAAGAAAGTAACATGTATACCAAATACATCAAAGTTACTTTCTCTGGATTTTAATTAGCATTTTCTAGCACACACAAACACGCCAAAATGACTTCCTCTGGATTCAAATTCCCTGGAATGTGTATTGCCTTGCTATACTACCTTCATTGTGCATCTGGAACATTACTGTAACTGTCTAACTGATTTGCTTTTCACTGAACAAATATATTATTATAGGTGTGCCGACATAACTATGAACCTTCTCTGCAAGCTGCTAATATGGTTCTAATGATTTCTGTAAAGGTAATTCTAAATGCCAGTCAATTTGTCTGAACAGATTCAATAACTGATGCTCCATATTTTATCTGTCATAACCAAAGTGCAAGTGTTTTCCCTCGATACTTCATTGGATCAACTTTATGGTCAACAACTTTCGTCTGAACAGGTTCAATAACTGATGCTCCATATTTTATCTGTCATAACCAAAGTGCAAGTGTTTTCCCTTGATACTTCATTGGATCAACTTTATGGTCAACAACTTTTGTTTAGAAATTATGCTTTGCATACACTTTAGACTCTTTTCACTTTAATATAATAGACAAATGTTAGCCCGCTATGTTGATGGAAAGCTATGAACAAGTTGTGGCAGTCTAGGTATTTAGTAAACTAGATAGTAATCTTGAAGATGTTATCTTTAAAGTTAAATGTGTGCAGAGCATGAGTTTAGTGGGCAGTATCATATTCACAAACCAAACTGTGAGTTTGCCAAGTATTGCCTTGTATTGTTTGCTTAAAGATGGAGATAGAAGCCTGGTGTCCTGCATGTTGTTTGGTCCTTTGCTGTAATGCTAATTCAACAGTAATTAAGTCTTTTTACCATTTTACTTGCTAAAATGAGGTAACTAGAAACAATGGACCTTTTATGTAAGAATGCATGGCTTAAATCCTACTTGGAGCAAATGATATTGCTACTCATGCTTAGCAGCTCCTTTGTTTCACCCAAACAAACTACTTGATACTTGATTAGTGATGTTGATATTTCACATAAGTTACACCAAAGCCATCCTCGTTTCACCCAAACAAACTACTTGATACTTTATACCATATATTGTTGAATCATTGACTTAAGTTGGTTGGACTTGGTGCACTAGTTTCCCACTTCATATGCAGGTTTAGGGAAGCAAGATGTACGCAACCTTTTTTTTTTTTTTTTTTTTTTTTTTTTTTTGCTTTCAAGGTTGTTTCTAGGAGTAAGACCATAACCTAACAATCAATAGGCTAATTGACTACATTTAGTTGGTGTACAAAGGATAGCTTAAACACATACATAGAAATGCATTGGACATAGGCCCGCTTCAGGAAGAACTTGGATTCTCCTTGCATGAACTAACAGTTCACTCCAGGCATCGAATAGAAGTTTCCTCCAGGATGACAAACCAAGCGAAATAACAGCCTGATTTTATGGCTAAACAGTACAGGTTGTTCGTCTAATTTGTGATAATACTCTGTATCATACTTGCGCAAGCTAGATATGGGATTATTTTCTATGTGAACTTGTAAATGAAGTAGGAAATTGAAACTCTAAACCTGTCATTTAGGCATTCTTTGTTTGCTATTTCTCAGTGACACAGAAGATATAAGTGTATTGATTATGTCTTGCCAGCATTACTTGCCCTAGGTCCTAACTCTTATTCTAGAATTTATACATGTGATTGAGGCTCTTTTACAACTTTGACTTGGTTACAATTTGTAGAGTGCTTGTCAGAGTGGGTGGTTTTCTGAAAAAGATTCTGAAGATCTTCACTATCTTGCAAATGAGGTTAGTAACTATTCTTTGATTTATATTGTACTGGTTCTTACTTCACTCTTTTATTTTTTAATATATATTTAATATTTAATTATTATTTCCATATTCAGATCTCTCGTTACTTCTGCACTGGAACAGATTTTTCAAGTGAACCTAGTGGTTCTCAATCCATTATCCAAACAATTATGACGAGGTAGGAATGTTTACACATATTTTCTTGCCTTGTAGGCTGAATATATAATTCTATGTCTAAGCACATCAATACAAATAATTCCAATAATTTTGTTGAATTTTATCAATATGTATCAGTTACTGCTCATCCCAAAGTTGTAGACCATACTATAATATTTGGATGACCACACTTTGCTTTGGCAACGTTAATGTATTTCCTTTTCTTTAAATATTACTTATTAGAATGGTCTATTTGGTAAATATTCTTCTATGGTATTCTGAAAACTTATGGTGTGGAAATGATTTTGGAAAGAATTATTAAATTTCTGTTGCTTGAGATTAAAATTAGACCCAACTGAACTGAAATACAATAGTTTAGTTTCCTTCAGATGTAGTGATTGAGGGATATGCCTTTTGCATAATATTTGTCTTCTAACTATGATGAATGCCTAGCACCACTGGCTCTTACTGAAGAAACTCTGTATTGGCAGATTTTTTCCCACATTGAAAATGGGCCAGATATTTGTCTTTCTGGAAGTCAAGGTACTCATATATCCCAATCACCTAGTTGTGCGCATGTTTAGGGTTTAATTTGAGTCAGTTTTGTTCTAATGCAATTCTACTTTTCTGATAGCCTGGATATGGTGTTTTTGTGAACGACTTCTGCATACCAAAGAATGTTCAATTTTCTCCGGGAGAGAATATAGTAAGCACCTCCTACTTTGATTGAGGTTCATGCTTATATTTTTAATATTCTCAAGTGAGTTTGCAAAAGTAGTTCTTGCTTTGGGCAAATAACTTTTCATTCATTCTATGGTCAGATACAAACTTATTTTTAGCTGATATGCTTCAGTGTCTGGACTTTTTCCCTTTTAGTGCTGTTTGCATATTTGTTTTTTATTCATATTGTATCTTAAGATCACACACTGTATTATGTTATCTGAGTACTTATTGACATTCTGAGATCTCATCTTTCTTTTTGTGACTGTACTGACATTCTAATCAATCTTTAATCATGAACTCCTTTTTTTTTGGAGTACTATTGACCCTGTTACGTGTAGTATCTGTTCAAATATACTTTCTCAACCTACTGTTATCATGAACTCCTTAATCTTAGTGTAATCATGAATTTAAGTGATCTGAAAATGACTGACAGACTAGTGTCCTACACAGGCAAGTAACAAGTGGTTTTCATTATTCATCATTCTTGTATGCAATCTTTTAAGGGTGCATTTTGGAAAGCAGTTGGAGCAGTCCATTTCTCCAATTACTCTCTGGAAGACCGTTTGGATAGATCGCTGTTAGACTGATTGGAGTGGTGATTTGGATGAATTGCAGTTAGTGGTGGAGTGATTCGCCACTCCAATCACAGAAATTTAAACTGGGGTGGGGGTGTTGTAAGGGCCGGTGGGAGTCGTGTGACTGAAGTGGTCCAACCACTCCAATCTCACCCCAATTGCTCTAACTAGTCTAATCTCATTGCTGGGCTAGAGTGCCTATGTCTACAGTTGAGGGGTTGGGAAGGACTCACAATAGTTGTATTGTTTTATATGCTGATTTCCTTCATAAAGTACATTATAGCTGCCAATGGTGGAACATGCACAGTTGCACACTGAGGTTTGAATATAAGTATATAACTCCCACCTTTATTTTCTTTTTGCCTGCAGAGATTATTTGTTGCCCAAGTAGATAATATGGAGACATCATCATGTCTCATAAGCCCCCCTGAAGTGAAGTATGGAATTCATTTCCATATCCTTTTTATTTAACTATCTGTCAAAGTTATTTGACTGCTCTAATGTATATTTGTTTTGTTTTTGAAGCTTTCTCCACAATGGGAATGTACTGCCAAAGCGAACAAATATGTTTATGGTCTGTTGCAGTAGTACTTTTGAGAAGTATTATTGGAAAATCTAATATCCAAAAATTACCTAATGCCATTAATGCTAAATGATATTTAATTTTTGTATTTTGCTAGGATTCTGGACCTCAGGTTCCAACAGTTCTATCATTAAAGTATGGAACAAATCTTCTTCAAGCTGTGGGCCAGTTTAATGGTATGATTGGAGAATTGTCCTATCCTGCTTTTGTTATTGTAATTGGTATAAAACTTACTGTATTGTTCATCATTGTGAAGGAAATTACATTATTCTTGTTGCCCGTATGAGCACGATCTCAATCCCTGATCCTGCCACCCAGCCCACCCTTCTAAATTTTCTGCAACCAGCTCCTGCTTTGGAAGATCCAGGTATGCAGCGGGTAGTACTTTAAGTTGCACAACCTTGATTATCCATGATAGATACTGGCATGTTGTCTTGGGTACACCGTACACCCAATATTTATTAAGTTGTAGGTGTATTTTGGAGGATCCTTGTGAAGTAGGTGTATTTGGAAGGATCCTTGTGAAGTACCCATTTCTTAGGGATATGTGTTCTGCATGGTTTTGGTGCAAATGAGAAGCCCTGATAACATTTCAGTATCTGTTTTGGTCCTTTTGGAAGCATAGAAATTATACCTGAGATTGTCTACTCAATTATGTGCTCTACCTAAACCGATATTGTAGCTGAGATCCTTTCGGAGCAATTATGTTTGCCCCTCTAATAGCTCAAGCTTTTAGTTTAGGTGGAGAACATAATTGAACAGTTAAGTACTTGCTTTATGAACTTGTCAGGCAACTTCATAGCTGCCTAGCTTACTTCTCTTATGAAACTGTAAGACTAGTACTGATGACTGCTGTCATTTTCTACTATAGAATCGGATGTAATTGAGGGACCATCAAGAATATCCCTGAACTGTCCCATAAGGTATGATGTTTTCTCTGCTGCTTCTTTGAATTTTGACGTGGAGGTATAGACAAAACAGCTTTTGGCTTCTACTTATTCCATAAGCTTTTGACGTGCTGGATCTGTTGAGTATGTAGATTTATTATTTGTTGCCTAATGGAAAGAATTAGATTTCAGTTGGGTGTTGTATAGACATTAAAAAGAATTAAATAATTTACTTCATCAGTTTTTATTTTTGAACAATCCCTTTTCTCCCGCCCAATTGAATGTGATTCCTCTTTCCAGATGCCAGCTGCGACATCTAAATATTTTTCTGATAACTTCTTACTTTACAGTTTCAAGCATATTAAAACTCCTGTTAAAGGCCACTCATGCAAACATCTTCAGGTGAGAGCCCATAGCTGTGAATTGTTTAAATTAATCATGTCCAACATACTAAAAGGCCATATGCTACCTGCTAAAAGTTCATCATTTTCATTTCTATGATTGGATCTAATTGAACATGTTTCTGCCGTAGTGTTTTGATTATGAGAACTATGTTGACATAAATTCAAGAAGACCATCCTGGCGTTGTCCTTATTGCAATCAGCCAGTTTGCTTCACTGACATCCGTATTGATCAAGATATTGTCAAGGCAAGGATTTTTATTTATTTATGGGATGTGTGTTGCTTGAAATTATCTTGTTTTGGAGTAACCTAAATTTTATCTTAAAGGTTTTGAAAGACGTCGGAGAAAATACTACTCATGTGATCATCTCTTCAGACAGTTCATGGAAGGCAATAATGGACAGTGATGATCATAATGATGAAAAGACACCAGATAAAAGCCTTAAATCTGCGGAGGGTGAAGCAGTGCTGCCATGTTCTAGTGGTATCTCAAATGCACCTGTAGATATTTTGGATCTTACTACATTAGATGATGAAATGGATGAAGTGGGTAGGGGAGACAGTGTAGACCAAAAGGCAATCCAGAGCAACTACCAAGGTCAACCTTGCACAAAAAATCCGAGCAATTCTAATCACACTTCTCATGAAGTGGATGATTTCTGGAGAGGAATTTATCTCTCCACATATGTATTGGGCACTTCTAGTTCTACATCAAATCTGCAGACCGTTGGTGTTTCCAATCACACTCCGATTTCCATGCCATCACCTGTTCTAACAGATGCTGTTATTCCTGCCTCTGTGATGCAGGGTGGAGTTTCTTCTCCCAGTACCTTACAGCATTACCAATTTGGGAATTCAGATTTCCCATCAATAGTTAGTCATACAAGTGGAACGCCGGTTGCAGTTCAAGCTGCTCCAGCTCTTGCATCTCAACATAGACCAAGAAATGGGATGAACTTCACGATCTGCAATGGCCCTTCAGCAACTTCTCAGGATTCTCCTGCCCAGTCACTGATTAACAGGAATGCAGTCCCTTTTAGCCTTGGAATGCAGGAGCAATTCTCCATGTCTAACCCAAATATGCTCCAGGTGTCACAGTTACCCCCATCAACACTATCCAGTACAGGGGTAAATAGCTTAACTGCCTGCTTCTCTTCTGGTTCTTTCTTCAAATGAGAACTATTTAACATTCTATTGTTTTTTACTTGCTTCAATAATCAATAATCATAATGATTCAATGTGTTTAAGATTCTTCATTTCTCTGTCGGTGGTTGGTTGCTCTTCTTGCTCATTCATTTTCTTGTGGCATGGATAGCAGCTGGAGCATCCTTTCATTTCTGCTCACCCAGCTCAACAGTTCACTGGCTTTCAAGGTCGAGGTCAAATGCCCGGTCCTTACAGAGGTTCACCAGTTTTCTCAAGTCAGCAGCAGGGAATGCTGAACCAGAGGGCACCCTATGTGACAAGTAATTCTCAAGGTCTCACTCGACCATCTGCTTCAAGTTTCTTGCAAACTCCTCGTGTTCAAGGCAGTTCACGGAGTGGTGTTGGTCAGGCAAGAGGCGGTGTTAGCTGTCAACATGCTCAGTCAATGGTTGGAGTCCAGCCAAGTTCCCAAACTGCCAGACCTGTTCAAATACCTCAAAATGCTGCTCATCTTCTAGTGAACCCAAATTCATTCAGAGTACCACCAGGGGCAGGGGGTTATCAACATGGAAACATGTCAGGCACAGTAGCAGTGAATTTACCTTCATATCAAGACGGGCGCCCCATGGTCCGTATGCGTGGTGGCCTATCAGGACAAGCTTATAATGATGCTCTGAGGCACTACAATATTCATCCAACCCAACAAGCACAGGCACAAGCTCAAGCCATCCCGCCTAATTTCTCGCCCCAGTTACAAGTACTCATTGCTAACAGAGTTGCTGTTGGATCGGCACCGGTGAATAACTCCTCATCAACAGGGTAAGCTCAAGCCATTAGCCATCCCATCCTGCCTAATGTCTCACCCCAGTAGGTGAAAGCCGTGAAGCTGTCTGTATATAATATGGCCATTTTAACAATTTTCTTCAGTGATATAGCTTTTGTATGTATGCATTGACATCTGAACTATATAATACTCCGCAGAAATGACAGACAGTACATATATAGCTTTTGTATGTATGCAAGTGTTATGCTTCAGATTCGTCTCTGTGGTGTTACGTTTTCATGGTTTGTTTACCTTCTTTAGAGGTCAGCCGAAGAATTTGCTTAGGAATATCACTGTTAACAGGTTTATATAATTTAGGTTGGAGACATGTTTTAGGTTAGCCTATAAAATTTAGCTTTTTAGCATTGTCTTTTGATAGGTTTGTTTGTCGAGGGATCAAATGCATCACTTTGGTGTCAATAACAGAAACATTAATAACAACAAATTGAGTCAACTACACCTCTATAGCTTAAGAATATTTGAATTCTTATAAGACAATTACTAATTTGTTCCAAGTATAGAATTCATACTTACAGAATTTCATAACGCAAGACGCAAAAAGTCAAACACAAATTTCATAACGCAAGACACAAAAAGTCAAACACAAACACATGGACCAGGATCCATAGTGCAGTGTAAACTCAGACCATGGTATAACAATTGACATCCAACATGTAAGAACTCAAACTTGTTGGGATGTCTATATATTACTCCGTAGTTTCTATTCATATCAGCATACATTCAGTATACATACCAAAAGGATAAATTGTTTACAGATGTACAAAACATAACTAGTTTTTTGGAATACAAAACATAACTAGTTGGTTTCTACACAACTGATTGTTTCATTGATATACCCTCTTCATCACCATCAAAAGACATATTTTGTTAATGCAAAGTGTAGCAAATGAAAGTGATCAACAATCCCAAATAAATTCAAGTGATAGGGAATCTGGTTCATTGATGCTCTCAACAAGATTGTAATGTCAATTATAACCGTTGAACTTGTGGGACAAGATTGATGATTGATGATTTTCAACAAGAATGTAGTGCTAGCACCAGTTGCTTCAACCTTCAACGCATAAGAGTGCATTAACTTCAAATCAGGTTCTAGGCTTCTTTTGTGAGTTAGAGTCACCTGGCTCATATTTCCTTTTTATGCCCAAGAAGTGTTCAACCTGAGATATTAAATAACACTGTAACTCAGAGATAACACTAGTAGTAAATCCAGACTGAATAACAAACTAGAAAAGATTATTATATGAAACTGCAAAGGACATTAGACAACAGAAACATAAGTTGAAAATACAATGACCTTTTTATCACCGAGCATAGGTGTTAAACCACCAGGAAGGTCCTTCTCAACAGTAGCAAAACCACTTCTGGGATCACTAGTTTGCCTGGCAACAGTAAAAATGCAAAATTGATTTTTTTTTAAAGGAAAGTAAGATACATCTTTAAAGAATTATGAGCATGCTGATAAATTTACTAGATGCTGTTAGTGATATCAAGGAGACAGAATAAATCAGTTAAGGAGAGACGTACCCTGGTTTAACATGTCCACTAAGAATAAGATAAGGAGTCTTCAGTTTTTCTTGAGCTTCCCTCATTCTCTCCACAGACTGTGATGGTGTGTCTGAATTTTTCATTTGTTTCACCTTTAGCTCTTCTTGGTATTGCCGCATGCGTTTCTCTTGTTTCATTTTGCCAGGGCCCTTTCCATGAAATTTATGGGAAAGCAACCGAAAGGCCTCTTTTGGAGTCAACTAGTAAAGCCAAAAAATAGAGTATGGTGAATAGGAGGTATTACAAAATACTGATGCAGAAATATGAAAAGAAGGATTTGTCAAGCAACAGTACTTACAATTCGGCCATACTCATCAGTCCTCTCTATGTGTATTTCCTTGGGTCCTTCCTGGTCAGTAATGCCAACAAGCTTGCTTTTCTTCTTGTCCATGTTTCGACCACCCCATTCAATTGTTTCCTTGAGTGTTCCTCGTTCTTTCAGAAGCCTGAGAGCTCCAGATAACCCCTTTCCAACAGAAGCTTCATGTATTGCGCCATCTGGAGCCGCCTCTTCATCCTCCTCTATGGCTGGTTCATTATTCTCAGTTTCTTTCACCTCTGTCCAGCCACCATCCTCAGTTATTGCTGCTGCTTCAGGAGAAACCGGTGTCACATCTTCCATGAAAACATCTTCAGCATCTGGTTTTTTCGAATCTAAAACAGTAAAGTAAAATTAGATAACAGTAAAAATACATCTACAAAAACTACAACACTTTATAAGAAGAAAACTACATAAATATATAGATCCAACATACTAAAAAGGACCAAAAACACACAAAAGATTTCCATGGAGAGAATGGAAAGCTGCACCTAAAAGTAAGAAAAAGTTATTGATGCAAAATTCTCTCATCCTGAATGGTGTCTGAAAAAAAAAAAAGAAAAAAAAAAAAAAAAGAACAGGGGATGGGGATATAAGCAGGAAGCATCAGGGAACGTAAGCATTCCATATCTTCCTAAACCTCATAATCTGGTTGTACACAAGTTATGCAAGAGAGATGAGATCACCCAGTCATGTATTGGATAAAACTAATGAGTAAAACACTGTGCCATGTCAAATATTTAAAGCTATTGAGCATTACTATATTGATGTCACCTACCTTCATCAAGCTGAAGACCCCAGACAAACTCTTCCATTTCTGTGAAGACAACCTTATTTTCTTGCGAGTCTCCAATTGCAGGGTTGGAGTTATTATCTACAGTTGAATTGTTTGCATTTGAAGTGGCAAGCAATGCAATGGCCTCTGGTACAGATTTACCAGCCTCTTGTTTTTTCAGAGCTAATTTTCTTGCCCTTTCCAATGATTTTCGAAGCTCCTCATCATCATCATCAAATACAGCATCATCTTCCTCTGCCTTGGTGGTAATAGCTTGCTCAGGTCGAAGTGCTTTAGATGCTTCCTGAGCCTTTGTATATGCAGTCTGGTATGCCTTACTTCGCATCTCAGCCTCAGCTCTCTCCTTTTCCTCCTTTAGGGCTTGCCTTGTCTTATCATTCCGAGGACCAAGATCCCCAGCACCCAGTCCAGTAGAAATAGCCTCTGCTTCAAGGGCATCTATGTCCAGCTTCTCTTTCTTTCTTAGAGATTTTTTTTTCTTGGGCTTCTTAAATTGAAGCATTTCTTCTTGAGTATAATAGTCTGTCAAAATTCTACTAGAGGAATTGAGATCTTCAGTGTGGTTTTTTGTGGCAACCCCCTGAATTCTTCTCCGGAGCTGGCAATTCAAAAATAGAGCTTGGATTAACAGACAAATTCCTTGAAACAATCCTTAGGGCCATTCACAATATAAATGAACAAATTAATTACCTCTTCCAGTTTCTTCTCTGCACCACCACTAAAACGTCCAGTTCCATCAAGGGTCACACCCTGAAGTTAAGAATAAGCCAAGTAAAAAAGACAGTACTAATAAATATTGCAAATCAGTAGCAGTAACTAGAAAAAAAATTAAAAAAATAAAGAAAAAAATAAATTAACCTCCTCTTCCATCGGGTCATCATATTGTGGAAGCATTTTCTTTTCAGAATCAAGCTCATCACTGCACAAATTAGAAAATAGAGAGATAAATCATTAACATAATAAACACCTTGGTCTATCACTAATTACGTTATTAATGATTACATTAAATCCTACCTCTGATCATAAATCCCTTTTTTCTTCTTTGCAGCCTTGTATGCATCGTCCCTCCGCTTCTGCTCTCCAATTTCAATATTTTCAAGCACATCAACCTCTGAGATATACAATATACCTCACCTTAGAATCTGAGTCCACAAATCCCAAAAAGATGAAGACTCGACAGAATATGCAAGAAAATGGGGGAAATATAAAATAAGACTTGAATGTGTACCTTGATTTACATCATCACCAGAAAGTATGCTCTGATCCTTGAGAGTTAAGACAACTGAACCTCCTTCAAGTACTTTGTCAAGCCCATGAAGAATTTTTGCCCCACTCAGCTCTTCTATTGAAAGATGTATAATAAAAATTAGACTGATCCAATCAAATAAAGTTCATTCACATTTCTCATTGACCCATACATTTGAATCTGAAAATTGCAAGAATACTGCCAATATTAAATCATTTAATAAACTATATATTGAGTTATGTTCTCTTTTGAGAACCCAACCACCAAATTTACCAAGACATAAAAAGGAGTGACTGCATTTCAGCTCAGACCAACCAACCCAAAGAAAAAGATTAACTTTTTATGTAGATTCAAAATACAGCCTTCATTGAAAGTCAAGAACTTCAGTTCATTACTCACATCTGAGACAAAATGGCCCCTTTTTCAAACAAATGCTTGCAACAGGTAATAATCTTATTCTATTGAGAGTCCAAGACAGAAGTACCACATCAAACTAATTTCCTTCCCATCCCCCTATTTAAACGTAACATATAATAAATTATGGATTTGCTAAAAATGAGAAAAATATTTCAATGAAGAAAGATAGAGTGAGAGAGAGCAATACCAGTAGTGCGTCGCGTTGCTTCCTCATCATCACTTTCTTCTTGATCAATTCTATCCTGAAAAATTGATCATGCAAAGATTAATTCTTGTGCTGTTAACAAGAATCTGTTTTGGTTTTTTTTGGATGTGGTGTCTGAGGGGTGGGGTTAATTTATATTTGATAACTGATAAGCAACAGATAAAGAATATCTGAAAACATAAACAATCTACCTGCTCTTCAAAAATCTTTGAGAGCTGCAAGGCTTTCTCCTTTTCAGCCTTCCTTTTTTCCTCAATCTGGCGGCTCTTGTTAACCCATGTTAAAACTTCAGAGGCACCTTCTGATTTTTTCTTCAACCTTTCTTCCTTCATCCTGGAGGTCACAAGGCATTATGTGAGAATTAAAGCTAAATACCCGCCAATATTTTCAAAATGTAGTTTTTCACATCCAATAAGAAATTGAAAGTTCATCCCACTTAACAAAAAAGTTCTTTTGTTTTTTCAGTCAATATCAGACAACACATTCCATTAAACAAGATAGAGATCAAACATCATGAAGCTACAATCTTGAAAAATCACAGCCAAGCCAAAAAACCAATTACAATTTGGCAAATGGATTTTAACCATAAGTTCAGAGTTGGGAATAGAGCAAAGACCAATTTATGTATCCATAAAGTATATGGAATTACTAGGATCCAAAGCAGCATTTTCCCTATATAAAGATGCTTTCATAAATCAGATGCATCAGAATGACAGTATATAATATCCAGTAAAATATGTTTTTATAAAGTTTTGTTTCAGAGACAGGCATTAAAATACTGATAGATGCATAATCAATTCAGAAACTAAAATAATAATTAAGTACTTACTTCAAAATACGTTCCTCCAGCTCTGGAACAGCAGGCTGTGATCCAATAGATTCACCCTTCACAAGAGAAATCCTGGTATCCTCGGCATCAGCTAGACCCATTTCCTGTTCAGATAAGTCCCCATCAATACCATCTTCTTCATTGAATCTTGACACGTCATCATTTCCCACATCCATGCTCCTATTCCGATAGCTTCCATCTGTGTCTCTTGACTTCTCCTTACCACGAACCACATCCCACTCCTCTCTAGTTCTCTGTTTCACCTTTTCTTTATCACTTGCATCTTTACTTCTCACCCTATCATATTCCCTTTCCCTTTCTCTCTGTTTCTCTCTATCCTTCTCCTTTTCTCTTTCTCTATCTTTTGTCCTCTCCTTGTCCTTGTCTTTATCCCTGTTTTTGTCTTTTGCTCTCTCCTTATCTCGACCCCGTCCACCATCCCTCTCCAAGTCGTCCTTATCTCGCTCTTTTTCCTTTTCATGATATCTACGATCTTTCTCTCTTCCTCTATCTCTCTCTTTGTCTCTGTACTTGTCCCTGTCAGTATCTTTCTCTCGAACCCTGTCTCTGGTCTTGTCCTTTTCTGTATCATCTCTATCCTCCTTCCTTCTATCTCTACTGGACACCCGGTCCTTCTGTAAACCTTTATCCTCTTTCTCTCCCTCTCTTAACCGTTCTCGATTTTTACTTCTATGTTCTTTTTCTTCTTTTCGGCCAGAACTCCCAGAAGTCTTGCTCTGATGCTTGCTTGAATCCCTAGATTTCTCAAGATCATTTTCTTCCAAAGCATCAAGTCCATCCTCACCCCACCTCTCCCTACCAGGCGAATCATCTCGTTCTCTCATTTCACCACTTCTTTCAGGCCTCAAGTCAGTCGAGTCAACATCCATCATAACCATTGGAAATAGTAATAGGCTAGCAAGCACAGCTACAATTTATTTGTACCCTCTATAATAGCTAATCTGTAAAAGAGAAAGACATTATCCATTAAGTTCATCAAAAAATCAAAGAACAGGCATGTAAGGAAAATGGGAAAGCCTTGAGATAAATCAAAGAAATTATGGCAACATGAAAGACTCAAAGACTAATTAATTTAAATATTCTATGAAGGAGTAATGAAAAGTCATGAAAGAATGAAATTACACATAGAAGACTAGTTTCATTGCTCATTTATTACATACATACATATACATAATAACAAGTTGAACTGCTCAGATTTTCAAGCACTGAAACAGTTGCATCCGTCTTCCTTCCCCAAATATGGAGTCCATGTGTATACACAGAATTACACATGTGTGCACACACACAAATAAACAGTTAGCTCTCTAATCTAATTTATAGTGAAGTACTAAAATAACAGAATTGATATAGTATGCAGTCATTTTAAAATTATTGACTACTAACTATATATCCGTGTTACTTTTATATCTAGACCTGTCACATAATCAATATAAACGTTTTTTTCTGTTCATCCTTCAATTTATCCCATAAATAACCTAAACAATTATCTCAGCTATTCCTAACCAATGGCCAACCAGAGCTTGATTTAAATCAGTTTTCTACCTATGCTGAAAGTATCATGGCAAATTGAAAAACCACATGCCCAATTCCATTGAAAATCAATAACATTAACTAGAGAAGAAGATTTTAGAATACAAGCCTCTAATTTAAAATCTCCCTAAGCAATTTCAACAAACACTAGTTAAAGACTTGAACTTTTGAACATCAGAAGATGAAATCAATTCTTGAGGGGGGAAAAGTATATTATAATTATTCATTTCAACCCTTAAATTTAGTGCAATGAAGTCCAAATCTTGACGGGATGACAAAGTGGCTACATACGGTGTTAAAATTGGGAATGACATGACATCACAGTGGAACAAATTTCTCTCTGGAAAATTCAAAGCTCCCAATTCCCAAATAGAAAATACAGACATGACCTAGGGCTAAAAAGGCGTACGAGATGACAATATATGCATAGTTGCACTTGTATGAATTTTAGAATTGTAGTATTGAAGTAAGCATCCGTGCATAGGGGTGAGCATCGGTCGGTTACGGTTAATAACCGACCGATAACCGAATAACCAATGGTGTTTTTTTTAACCTACGTAACCGACTGAAACCGACCGAACATACACATATTTCGGTTTTGGTTGGTTATTTCGGTAACCGAAAAACCGAGAGTGAACTTCATATTTTTATAGTCCATAGTCTTCACAATAAATGGTTTAAACTAATAAATGGTTATCTAACTTATTAGAGTGAACTTCATAGTCTTCAAAATTCACAAGTCATAGCCATACTCAGTAGGCCCATACAACCATACTGCTTACTGCTAATCTGCTTATCTGCCATAGTTCATTAGGAAAAGAAATAACCATGCTTCCACATACTGCCAATCTATAATTAAAAAAATAATTTAATACTAAAATTAAAAGGCCAAATAATGAAACAGTGAATAAACTAACATTGTGAATTAGTGTGTACTTAATTCAATAAACTAAATTACTTAAACATATTCTACAATAAACTAACATATTTATATGAATTAACCAGAGTTAATAACACAGAGTTATGACTAACATATTCGTATGAAGTTATGAATTAACACAGTAAGTCAGTAACACTAACACAGAATCACAATACAACACAATAAACTAACACACTTAAAAGCAGTAATTCATATCATTTCTTTAATATAAAATTTAAAGTGAACAAATAGAATTATAAAAATTAGAAATTACCTTTAACATTTGATTATTGAAATTTTGGAGCCTGGAGACCTGAATTATGGACTCTGGAGTTTGGAGAAAGACCGAGCAAGTCTGCAAATTTTTAAAAATAAAATTCTGTGTGATTTTTTTTTTTTTATATATAAATCATACTATCAAAGTGAACAAATACTCAAATAGAAATTATAAAATTAGTATGCAAGTTAGTGACCTACCCTTGAGAGTTGGAACTTGGAAGAAGTGAAGAACTGAGAATCGGAAAGAGTCTGAGATGGGTGAGGCGGTGAGTGGCGAATGGTGACTCCGGCGAGGCTGTGAGGCGGTGAGCGGCGACCTGCGATTTAGTGTTTGCGATTAAGGACGAGCCATCGGTTCGAGTCTTCGAGAGAGGGCAGCAAGCACGTGATTTGCGAGAGATTGAGAGACAGGGAGGGCTGTGGTTGCGCTGCGATTTAGGGTTCGCGACTCTTTGAGCGATTGAGAGACAGAGGGTTTACTGGTTTGGTAACTTTGGTTTATGCGATTACTAGTTTAGGCCTTTTGTATCTACAATCTACCTCTACCATTTACAATCTACATCTACATCTATGTACAATTTTAATAAGAACCAATAATATTAATGATTCGTATTATTTTGATTTTATTATTTTTTAATGATTTTCTTTATTTACCCTCAATTATATTATTTATTTCCCTTAAATAACCTAAATTCCGTTAGTATAAACTTTATTAACGAAATATTCCTTTAACTATTAATTATTCTTAACTTACTTATTAATTTTTATAAGAAATGTCTTAAGTTCAAACCTCATCCTAATTAGATTTGGCATAATTGTTAAACATATACTACGAATATGTTAAAATATATTAAAAATATATAATATAAAATTTAATATAAATTTGGTCAAATAATTAGTCTGACTAAATACATAACATTTGATGAATATAATGTTATCTCGTTTCTCTTTTGCTATGATAATTGATGGTTGTTTCTTGCTCATCGATCTCATTTTTACGGTACTTGATCTGTAGATTAAATCCATAAAATATCAAATGCAGTGAAATTATAATCTTATTTTGAGATTCTATTAGAACCTCAGTTTGAGGTTCCAATTGCAGAACCTCCTTTTGAGGTTCTACAATGATTTGCATGCTTGATTTTTGTGAATATTAATTGAAAAATTAATGAAAATTGTAGATGAGTAACTTACGGAATACGCATAACGAAGATTCAAAGTGGTTGGACAGTACCCTGGCCGATTTTCTTCATATTTTTATGATAAGATCAAACGACACCCTACTGGACAACCTGTTTTTAAATACTCTATCTGGAATGAAATGAATCAAGAACTTAAAGAGAAAACAAGATGTGTTTATACTGTTGGTCAATTGTGTGGAAACTATAAAGCATAACAGATGCAAGGATTTATATAAGCGCTTATTAGAGGTGTTAAACCACACTGTGGTAACATTCAATGATGAAACAAATAAGGCTATGGTAGATGATGAAGTTTGAGAAAATTTTCTTCAAGGTATGAATTTTAGTTTTATATAATATTATATACTACACTAATATAATAAAGATGACACTAATGAACGTTTATTTTATTCCGTAGAAACACAAGATCTACAGAACTCTATACAACCAAGGTTGCAAACATTATGAGATGCATTATCTTATTTTTTTGCAACAACTATGCTACTGGAGGCATTGTGAACCCTTCAACGCAACAACCAGTGAACTCCAATGAGGAAAGGCAAAATGAAGATAACTTTATGACCATTGCTACGAACAACCTACTAGAAGTTGTGGGAATAGTTCTAAGGGCAAACGGAGTGCATATGAGATTACAGGTAGTGGTAAAATGAGTGTTAACAAGAATTGGAGAGATCAAATTGCTGGTGCGTTTGGTAGTCATACAACAATATATATAATGTCTGAAGATTTGCATGACATGAGAGATGAGCGAAATGAAAAGAAACTTAGGTAGCAACGAGAAGAATCTGCAAGTGAAATGAGTACGGGAATGACCCATGTTGATAATATGACGAGAAGTGTGCAAATTCTAAATACATTCTCAACTCTTAGTCCGGAAGCTTATAATCATGCTTTTGAAAAACTTGCCATGTCTGAAGCTCACCGAAATGGTTTTATTGCAATGCCCGAAGAGAGGCGATTGGCTTGGTTGATTTCCCTCTAATGAGTATTGTATTAATTGTTACTTGTATGATGAACATGTTCTTTAGATTATGACTACTTGTGTGATCAACTCCTAGTAGTAGTTACAAGGTGTTGTAGTAATTGTACTTTAGTATGTTGACATATTGTATTATGACTACTTTAATTGTGTTTTAAATCGTAATATGTTAAGCATGTGTTTATATTAATACGTGTTTGAACTTTTTACAATGTGTTGGGCATGTAATGTCAAACAACAATTATGATATTTCTTATAGCTCAACTACTCATGACAATGTCTATTATAGCTCAACTACTTATGAGAATGACTCAAGTAGTTCATATGACTCAATGAGGAGATGAGGAAAAAATTTGGGCACGTATTTGTCCTCACTACTGCATGTTTATTAATGGAAAATGTAGACATGATGCCATATAGAAACTCTGCACTCACAGGCAACCAATACATGGTAGAATTATTAGTTGGACACCCTACAAGATGATATGAACAATTAAGGGTGAAGCCACATGTATTCTTTCTTCTTTGTAAGAGGTTGAAGCACATGAAAGTGTTACATGATACAAGAAATGTTAGTACAGGAGAACAATTGGCTATGTGTCTTAATGTTTAGTGCCAAGCATGCACACAGTGTATAGTAGCTGAAAGGTTTCAACATTCAACTGCAACTGTTCATAAATGTGTGAAGAGAACGGTATGAACGCTTGTACACTTAGGGAATGATATCATTAGACCACAAAATAGAGGACATGTTCCACTACCATCACACTTATTTGCATCATTACCAACCCCTCTTTTTACAATCCAATTTTTTTATTACCTTAGGACTACAAGATTGGTTAACTAGGTTCCAAACATCAAAGTCTCTCACCAATTCTTGCAACCTTACTTCAATCACTATGAAGTACCTCAAACTGTCATCCATGGTATACCCAATTTTCCCTACGCTCTCCTTTAAACAAATCATTCTCCACTCATCTTCTACCATATCATTAAATGAACTAACAGTGCTACCAATATATTTAGCATGTAAAGTTTGACTTATCCTTCCTCCATGTCTTAAATTAAGAGTAAAAATTCTACAAATCAATGATTGAGAATTTGTAGTACACTTTAGACTACTTTATACTACAAAGAACTACTTTATAGTATAGACAACAACAATACATATGCATACCAATGTCACTTTAGACTACTTTACACTAAATGCATTAAAAAACAAACAATAATGGTCCCTAGCATATGCATAACCAGACAAACAATGGTCCACACACCATTTTCAAATAGAAAATGGTCCCCACATGTATGTATACGAAACACAATATACAACGCACACATCATATACTAAAGAACACAACACAAAGTCTAAATTTGGCCCCCACTTCTAGCATTTCATTCTCCTACGGCTTGAAAACAACGCACACTACATATATTACACAATACATAAGCAACACATTGGCGTTACCTGGTGAACCAGTATTGCGACCAATGTTAGCTTGCTTTCCTCTCAAATCCATCAACGCGCTTCGTTCTTGGATCAGAATCTAAGTTCGTTTAATTCAAAGATTGTGGTTTTAGGTTTAAGGATGAGATTTGAGGATTTTGATACATATCGCGTATAGAGAGAGGATTTGGGGATTTTGATACATGTAACATATACAGAGGGGAATGACGATGAAGTATACACTCAGCAAGTGAAAGGACAGTTTTACCCCTTCATTTGACGTCCACTTAACGAGCTTGTGACGGAAGGACCAACATTGGAAAGATTTTGATAGTCAAGTGTCAAAATTGTCCAAATTAAAAGACGATGACCAATTGTGAAAAATCACTCTACTCGGAAGACCTTTGTTAAATTAACTCTAAAATTGGCACTTATGGCAACACACCATCCGAAAACTAACAACTCAATGAATTATCGGGAGGCATGATCCAATTGCATAATTTTAGTTTTCTTTATGGGTCAGTTACTCTTTTTTTTTTTTAGGGTCCAATTACATTTTTCAATATAATGTAGCTCAATGACTTATTTAATTATTTTTTCTTTTATTTATAATGATGAAAGTTTATAGATAATTAAAAATAATAATTCAAACATACATTGTCTACCTTATACTTACTATTTGGTTTTAGATTTAGGGAGGCTAAGATTAAACTCCTGAGATACTAAGCGCATAGTGTAAATAAAGTGATAAGAATGCAAGATTTGCAAGTGAAGACCATAAAAGAAAAAATCTTGATTTTTTCACTATTATAAAAAAAAAACTAAGTCAACCCAAGGGTTTTGAGACTATATAGTTGTTGTTGTTGTTTTGTTTTGTTTTTTTTTTTGTTTTGTTATGTTTTTTAAATAAAATTAATCTCTTATATGTATAATAAATAAATAAAAAGAAAAAACCTTAATAAAATGCATGCTAATAACTTATAATTTTCTTTTTGGAATAAGGGTCAAAATAACTATTGAATTACATACGAAAATGCAATTGAACCAATTAACTAAAAAAAATGCAATTGACTCTCTAAACAAGTCAAATTCTTGCAACTAAATCAAAAGTGACATATAGTTTCGTGCGGGGTGGTTAACTTTTAAAAATTATTTTTACAATTTATTTTAATAATTTTAAATAAAATAAAATTAAAGGAAAAAAAAACCTCATTCGTCTTTGGACGGGAGACAAAGCAATGAAGGGTAGACCAAGAAGCGACAAAGAGGTTTCTTCATCTTTAGGCGCAGGAGACCGGGGGTTTATTTTTAAATTTTTAATTTTTTTTATCTTATTTAAAATTATTAAAATAAATTTAAAAAGTTAACTGCCACATCAATCAAGAAATGGGAGTATATATCATTTTTTTTAATATTACTCATTGCATTTTTATGAGTAGTTTAATGGTTATTTTGATATTTATTATTTTCTCCTTTAAAAAAAAAAATCAAAATATTTGGAAAGTATAATATATCTAACATGTCATTTGTATTTCTTTCATAATATACATACAACTGATACAATTAAGGAAATATTTTAAAAGTCATATATATATATATATATATATATATATATATATAGCATGTGTATATATTAGCAGAGATCAATCACTTCAATTCTCCCCTTGAGGAATTGATTGATTAATAATATAATGTATAATTAAAGTAGACCGAATTAGCAGTAGGCAATATAATTGAGGAGGTGTGTATGTAGTATAGTACTTTGTATTAGAAATTAGAATCTGGGAAGGAAGTGAAGTTGTTTGAGAAGTGGACTTAAAGTCTCCATAAGTTTCTCGCAAGGATGATTGTGAATGCCTTCATAAGTTGTCACCACAATGCTTCTATCCTTTGACAGTCTCTGAATTTGTTTCTTCACATTGCATGTGTGGTGTGTGCACCGATAATAACTCCTGAACAAATAATAATAACAATATAAAATTTTGTTTATAATCTCATACAATATTATATTATTGCATTACAAAATGCGAAACTCTATATTTAAATTGTTGTTATATATCTCGGCTCCTTCTCTAGGGGTGTGCGTTTACATGGTTTGGTTAAAAATTTATGATAATCGATTTTATTTTAAATGTATCGATATAAAGGACCATGCTAGAGATTTATACAATTGCCATTTTTTGATGTGTTATTTCCTTATTAACTTTTTTTTTGAAAGTTACTGGCTCTATTACATTGTAGTATCTGTTCGTATACTTTCTCAACCTACTGAAACACAAAGAACCAATAGCGCCTCCACTGAGACTCGAACTTATATAATCTTCCAAATGGAAGTCCAACCCGGATACCATTAGACCACATAGTCCTGGTATTTCCTTATTAACTTACTTGTGCATTATCGAATAAACATCCATATTATATAATAGCTTGCAAATTACACAAGAGAAATAAACTGCACAATGAAGACTTCATGTGATGGGTTGTCAACCAAGTAGATGCTGACAAAAATTAAAATCGTGACCTTTAGATATGATTATACTTCACTCACTTGGTCATCCCATTAGGAGCATTTAATTCACTTTCGATGTATACACAATATGGTTTACATACAAGTTGAACTCAAATTAATTAAAGTACAACTTTATTTGACAATGTAAACTCTATATAAATTTTATATTTTCAATGCATAATATTTAGGCCAACAAGATTGCTATTTTTTTCTTGAAACACTCACGATTCCCTACAATGCAGTATATGTTCTAAACTTTCTCAATTATTTTTAGCACAAAGAATCAATACTCCACTATTTGAGGTTCGATCATGTAACCACTCATGATTATTGTTGTTGTTGTTGTTGTTGTTGTTGTTGTTGTTGTTGTTGTTGTTGTTGTTGTTGTTGTTGTTGTTGTTGTTGTTGTTGTTGTTGTTGTTGTTGTTGTTGTTGTTGTTGTTGTTGTTGTTGTTGTTGTTGTTGTTGTTATTATTATTATTATTATTATTATTATTATTATTATTATTATTATTATTATTATTATTATTATGAAGTGTTTTCCAATTTTATTACTTATGGGTACCTTTTGTTATTATTTTTTTCCTTCATAAGAACAACTTAAACACATTGACAAAGAGTAATGAATTGGATCGAAACATAAGAAAAATTAAGGAAATATATGCAAAACTAGCATGAAAGCACCAGTATATAGTAGTTTAAAATATTACATTGATTAAATTAGTATTAACAGCTAAAAATTATATATTTGAAAATCATAAACAAAGTCAATTATTTAAAAAATTACTTTGTATAAGAAAATGTTTAAAAAAAAAAGTTTAAGAAGGCAAAAAATAAAAATAAAAATACCTTGGATGGGCGCTATTTTTGACAGATTTTTGGCCATATTTTCTCCATTTAAATCCATCGTCAAGAATATCCTCACTGCTCCTCGTATGAAACTCAATTCTGGGCGGAAAGTTTTTCTTCTTACCATTCTGAACTAACTTCCCTTTACTCTTATTCCCATTTTCACTCAATACCACCTGCGCCTGCGTAGTTTGATCCATACAGCCCGAAAGAAGCCCGACCCAATCGATTTCCGGGCCGAGCTGAGCCGAGCTTTGCATCGTCGGCGGCAGTAAAGGGCTCAACAACGAATAAGGCGGCGGAGCTTGCAAGGAAGAAGTGGACGGAAAGGAGAAGAGTTGCGGCGGCAGGTCGTTGGCGTTGGATATCAACTGCGGCGGCGGCGGCGGCGGCTCGTCTCCTTCCATGAATTAATAAATGACGTATGGATCGGAAGCAACAACGTAGGATAGATAGATGAGATGATGTTGTACTGTTCGGCGAAAATGTTGGATTGCGAATTGGTGTTTGGGTACTTAAAAGGAGAAACTCGACGTTGGTAGGTGAGGGGCGTTGGACGGTTTTTGCATGCTCATGACGAGAAAGAAATGTATTATTAAATTATTATATGCTTTAATTTGTTGTTTCGAAGTAGTAATTTTATTCCGATGACCCACAACCTATAAGTGTTGAAAGTTTTTTGTAAAAAACAAGACTCCTTAAGACCTTAACTATTCTTGATTATTAGTTGGTTTTATTTTTACATCTACAAACTTAATAAGAACCAATAAAATTAAGCCTCTAAGGTGAACTAAAAAATGTTGGTGTAATTATTAGTTGAAATGAATATTTTATATTATTTTGATTTTAGTATTTTTATTATTTTTTCTATTTTATCTTTTATTATATCATTTACTTTTTCTAAATACTCATGTATTTCATCCGTGTAAATTTTAGTAATGGAATATTCCGTTAACTATATTATTATTCTTAACTTATTCATCGATTTTCATAAGAAATATCTTAGGTTAGAACCACATCCCAATCATAATTGTTGAACTTATACTATGAATAGGTTATAGTGTATTAAAAAATACAATATAAAATTTAACATGAACTTTGGTCAAATAATCAAGAATTCATTTAATTTCTAGTTGAAGTGGTAGCAAGAGGAAGCATGGATCACGCTAAACTGGTAAAATTAATAAGGTTTTGTGTTGCAAAAATTATGCTTGGGTACTATCCAGTGAGGGTGCTTCATATTTTTGCCGCATGTCATATTTATGGATATCAGTTTTTGATACTATCCTCTAAACTGTTATTGCACCATTTAATCCAACATTTCTGCCAGTTAATCCAACATTTCTGCCACATGTCATATTTATGGATTCTTGAAATATTTATTTTTATGAAAAATTGATAATCTTGCATGGATATACGCCTAGATACTGGATGATGTTTTGATAAATTCTAAAACAGTAATTTAAAAATACACATTTGGCATTAGACTATTTGCGCAAGCGCGTGTGGTAACTAGTCATTACCGATAAAATTAAAATTAAATTATTAAATATGGGAGAAGAAAATTATTAAATATACTACCAATTTTACATGATGGGTGGTTTTGAATCTCCTATGAAAAGTAATATAAGATGGCATTAAAACTTACATATTTTTGTGTAGACATTTTAATACTTTGTTGTTTGATCTTGGGTTAAATGATTAATCGTAATCTTTATGAATAATGCTATCCACCCCTCTAAAATTTTCCATCCAATCTTCCCCTCCTTAATTAGATAACATTTTTTAATTGGACAATTAACTTTATTTTTAATTAATGATGTGGTCACTCAAGTCATGAGCATCAATGAACTTAAGCCACACCATCGGGATAAATATTAGAAAAAAATATCATTTTCCTATTTTTATTATCTAGAAGACTAAAACTATCACAATCCTACAAAGTTAAAGGTATTCGTTGCAATTTTTGGCAATGTGGAACAAAAATAACCAATCACGAATATAATATTTGAGAGACTTAAAATGTTTTTATTTTCCATATTAAAAATATGATACTTTTTTCTTTCAATGTGAGGTATTTAAATATTTTAGTCTATATAATAGATAGAATCATGTTTGTATTTACTTTGAAGAGATAATAATTATTATTAGTATTATATATATTTATCAATTGATTGATATCATAATTAAAATTTATTGTGTATGTATTAATAATTATTTTGAGGAAAAAAAAATTAAATGTATATGTAATATGTGTGTAGAGAAGGAGAAAGAAGAGGGCAGAGGGTAGCTAGGTTATAACTTATAAGCCATGATAAAGGTCAACTACATTTTACCTAATAAAATCTGTTCAACTGCCTTATTTGAAATGGCCAAACGTGCTCATTCATATTACTTTTACAATCAAATTACACAATTTACATCTTCTTCAATTCCCTTCTTACATTATTTTTATCCAAACACTTAAATTTATATTATAATTCAAAAATTAGGGAGTATGTATTGGTGGAGGGGGTTGAGAGGGTAGCCGGTCCATATTTTTCATGCAAGATTATGAATTTCTTGTGTAATAATATAAAAGGAATATAGGGGATATATGTTGTTAAACAATAATAATAAGTATATATGTAATAATAACTACTCCAGTTTCTGAATTCTTCCGCAGTCAAGTCTTAGCTTGTTTTCGGATCGAATATATGTTTTAGAAATCTAATTACAACTTACAATTAAAGAAAAAAATATTTTAGAGTGACAAGAACAACTAGCTTGCACTCACTCCCTGATAATGTATACTGAGTAAATTTTATTTATAGGGTAATTTTTATTTTTTATTTTTTATTTTTTATTGCATGCAACAAACCAAAATATGCAACAGCACCAACAAGAAGTATATGAATTAATTGTTTGGTGAGTATGAATATATGACATATTCATTTTGAATTTTGTACTGTTGTGACTACGAATTTGAGTATTATCAGTTATTGCATGTTGTTGAACTGTCCACCTCGGCTTTGAACTTGCATGGAATAGCTTCTAGAAATTTGTGATCCTTACTTGAGTATGATAATACCTCATTATAGACAATCAAATCAAGGAAAAATTATGATATGTTTATCTTATGTATTATTTTGATGGTCGAGACTCGAGAGAATTTGATACGCTTATGATAATACCTCATTATAGACAATCAAATAAAGGTGAAGTTATGATATGTTAAGCTTATAGTATTATTTTGATGGTCGAGAGAATTTGATACACTTATGATAGACGATACCTTAGTTGCATTAGTATTTTTTTCAAGGTATGTAGTATTTGTTCTATACTTTTTCAATAAATGCCTCCATCACTGAAATTCAACCTTGTGACTACCTATTTAGATTAGTAACATATCAAAAGTGTCATTATAGTACATAGTAGCTAGCTGGCAGTACTTTAGTGTATATAATCTTTTACCTTCTATTGGATATCAAAACTATAATAAAATTATTTTTCTCTTCAGTATTTTCTTTGTCTCCTTAATTTTTCTACTATCTCTCATGTTTTAAGGTAAACCATATCATATTATTAAATAAGGGATCACACTTGTGTGAGACTGTCTCACATATCCTTATCCGTGAGACATGTCGGGTCAATATACAAATGTAATACTTATACTAGCAAACACTACAAGAAAAATTTCGAATCGCGACGGAACGTAATCCGTTATCAATTCGCTATGGCTTTTGCAATGGAACATGCTCTGTTGCGATTTTGTGACGGAAATGGTGACAGGATTTAATTGCGTAGAGAATTTTGGCGTAAAATGACGAAATAATATAATATAAAATTTATTGGGAAAATGCCCAAGGCGCAATCTTTTGTAGAATTTGTTGTGTCCATTACATTCTCACCTCTAAATACACTCATTAATTAAACTAGTACGTAGGGTAACATACAAGTTTGTTGTTAGTGTAATATATAAATTCATTTTCAATATATTAATTAAAATATAAATTTTTGATACGTTAAAAAAAATAAATACAGATTATTTACTAGTGATTCATATTACAATATAAATTATGGCCCACAATATAAATCGCCATCTAAATATCTGTAGTTCTGTACACATATTGGCCTATTACAATCTCCTTTCTATGTTGGCAAATTATGCTGGGAAATCGTGCACCATGCATGGTGCACATAGAATTGGATTCATAATTTCTATACTATAAATTCATAATATTTATACTATAGATTCATAATTATTGAGCTCTATATTCACAATTACAAAACTCTATGTTCATAATTTTCAATTCTCAATTGTTGAACTATGTATTCAATAATCATTGAATTAAATGTTCATAATTAAAAGAACGTAATGAACATATAGTATATAACATCTCTACATTTTTTTCTCTCTCTAGCTTCCTTGGCTAGTCTTTCTCTCTTGTTTCCGTGACAAGCGTCTTTTTCTCTGAGTTTGTGTTTGTTCTTGCTTTCGTGCCTCTTTCTTGAGTCTCGTTTCTCTGCTTGTCTTTTCGCTATGGATCAGCATCAAGGGGAATCTTCTGGGGTCAAGATGTCTGATGCAGGGCCCCCTATGGCTCATACTACTGAGTTGCCTGTGGATCCTACTGTGGATCCCACTGAAGAGATTCTAGATGCTTATGCGGCGCTCGAAATTGCAGATGAGGAATCTGATGAAGCGGATCTTCGTCGGAATGTGGATATTTCTCTGATGGTTGTGGGAAAGCTAATCACTGATAAGCTGGCTAAATTCAACTTCTTTCGAGATACTATGGCGGCGGTGTGGCGCCCGGTTAAAGGTATGGCGATGGAGGATCTGGGTAATAACATGTTCTTGTTTCAGTTTTATCATGTGTTGGATATGCAGAGGATCCTTGAGGATGGCCCATGGGCGTATGACCAGAGTCTTCTGGTGCTACAGAAAATGCAACCCAATGTCTCTCCAATGGCGATGGTGTTCGATAGAGCTGAGTTTTGGGTTCAACTACATGACCTCCCTTATGGTTTTTATTCTGAGAAATCGGCAAAAGTTATTGGAAATCATATTGGTATTTTTGTTCGTCTGGATGAAGAGAATACTGAAGGATGGTGGAGAACTTTCATCCGGGTTCGTGTTTCTATTGACATAACAAAGCCTCTGCCGTGTAAGATGAGGATTCGTAGGCCTGGGGGTGAGTGGCATTGGATTTCTTTCCGGTATGAAAGGCTTCCGAATTTCTGCTTCATCTGTGGAATTCTAGGTCACACAGAGAAATTCTGTCCCAAGCTGTTCGAGGGTGTTTGCATCTCAGGCGATAAGCCTTTTGGTGCCTGGTTGAGGGCAACTGGTCGGAGATCTTCTCCGGTGGCCGGTCGACGTTGGCTGGTTCTGGAGCATGGTCAGAGTACGGGCGCATCGCTGGGGCGGAGTGGAGAGGTGTGTACGGGGCCTGGGGCGTCTGTCGTTGTACCTGCTGTAGCA